GAGCCTTCCTACCCTCAGGCAGATCAATACTGCCACCCAACTCAGTGCCATCTGCACTGAACAATGATGAAAGATCAATACCAGTTTGTCGCTCAGCGGCTGGATGCTGGAGACGTTGGTGATCTGCTGCGTTCCCACCACCGTGTTCATGTACTGCACCTGGCTGGTCAGGCTGGTCACCGTCACCGGGTAGAAGTTGGAGTTCCTGATCCGTAAGGTGGCCTGGATGGAGGAAAAGAGGGGAAACCATGAGTAGCAGTGACTTTCCTGGCAGCTCAACACAGAATTTACACCCTCAGGGATTGAGACACAAAAAACTTTACCGTGATGGCAAGGATGACCATGGAGTTCTTCTTGTCGAACCACACCTGCACCACTTTAATACCATCGTCATTGACCACGACGGAGTGTGGGAACAGGAAGAAAACCACCAGCCCAGATACCAGCAGGCAGAGCAGCACAGACAGCAGCACGTAGAGCTTCCTGGAAGGCAGGGAAAAAAAAACCTCCTGTGCCCTAACGCAGCGTCTGCGGCTGCAAGAGCCCTCGTGTCTGCAACCCAACCCAGGCAGCAAACAACGTGCATTTGTTCTTCCCTACAAGAGACACAGAAGTGCTGCTCCAACGTTTTCCATCCCTAAAATTGCTCTTTAAACAGTTTATTTTTTGGTAATGAGTAACTCGAGAAGCGGGTTTGCCCCCAGAGTGCTTTCACAATGCAGTGTTTTTTGCGGCTGCAAGAGCCCTCGTGTCTGCAACCCAACCCAGGCAGCAAACAACGTGCATTTGTTCTTCCCTACAAGAGACACAGAAGTGCTGCTCCAACGTTTTCCATCCCTAAAATTGCTCTTTAAACAGTTTATTTTTTGGTAATGAGTAACTCGAGAAGCGGGTTTGCCCCCAGAGTGCTTTCACAATGCAGTGTTTTTGCTGTTAGCGAGGCAGTTTCTTTCTCAAAGCTTCAGCAAAGGGCCCGGGGATGAAGCGTGTGAGTAGGATCATTGTTTCCTCGTTCGCCCCGCAGTGGGATTTCACAGGAAGGATTTAAAGCTACACTTTAAATTGTATTTGTTGGCATGCTTGGATGAAAACAAGCCACTAGATGAAGGAGAGGCTGTAGAGCGGGTGAAGTGTTTAGTCGCAGCAGTAAACGACAAAAGAGCCCTGTTTGCTCTTGGCAGAGCTGCCATTACTCTCTTACCACACACTTACGTTCTCTGTGGACGAAGCCGTTGGTCACTGTAAGGTATCAGAGCCACCAGCTCGTTTACTTGCTCTGGAAAGCAAAAGGAACACATTCCATACGCTTGCAAGGTGGCTCATGTAAATAAATAGCATTTTCTTTTCGTAGTTAAGCCTCAGCAACAGCAGTCACCTGTGGGAATGCAGCCGGTGCCTTGGCAAGTGGGGCAGGTGATGCTGTCCTGCCCCGTGAATTCAACATAGGGAAACTTGGCAATGTCTTCCACGCGGTCTCGGCTGTCGAGTAAGTCATCATCGTCCTCCTCCTCCTTCCTCCTCTGCCTGCAGGCAGCGTTGTTAACAGAGAAGGAAAGTGCAGAACCCATTGCAGCTGCTGGAGAAAAGCTGCTTAAGCTACGACAGAGACAGCAAGAGGGCATTAAATGGGGTTTTGACCTGGCTGACAAGGAAACCCTGCCCTGCACTACAGGCGTGAGGGGAACAACTGCCCCCATGTACCCCCTGAGACCAAACACCCCTCAGAGAAACACCCCCACACTGAGACGCCCTCCCATGGGGATCAACACCCACCACAGAGTCTCCCCCTCAGGGATGACTCTCCCAGCACCCTATAAAAAAGACACCCAATTTAGGGGTGCCTCAGTGGAGGCTCATTTCCAGAGAGCCCCTCAAAACAGAGACACCCCCAGAACCAAACAACCACCCCACAGACAAACCTACACCCCTCAGGACCCCACAAAAGACAGACACACCCCTCCTCCACAGCCCCCTCCAAAAAAGAAACACCCCCCCCCCACACCCTCCCCACAGGGGCCCACCT